GGAATTACAGGCATGCGCTACCACGCCCGGCTGATTTTTTGATTTATTGTAGAGATGAGGTCTCGCTGCCCAGGCAAGTCTCGAACCCGTGGGCTCAGGCAATCCACTCACCTCAGCCTCCCAAAGGCGCGGGATTACAGGCTGAGCCACCGAGCCCTGCTGTTATAATCTTCTAAATGTAGTCATATTATATTCCACAGTGTGGATACACCTAAACCATTTTACTGTAGCATTTTTAATAGTAATAATAGCAACATTTATTTGTATATTCCTTTACAATGTGCCAGCTACTCTGCTAAATGCTTTGCATGTTATGATCTTATTTAATTGTCATGACACTCTCTGACGTAGGTAGTATAATCTCCGGTATAGGTGATGACACTGAGGCTTAAGTAGTTTTTCTCAGGCCCCACGACTAGTGAACAGTGGTGCCGTGAGCTGAGCCAGGTAGGCCCGTCTGCAGGACCTCTGTCTGCCCCACTGCCATGTGCACCAGGTAAGAGCCACATGAGTTCTGGAGCACAGGCTGAGTCAGGGCTTGTCTATTGAATTTTACATCCTGAAGGACATGAAAGGAGGACCAATTCCTACAAATGTGATAACAGCTTCTGTAGGTGGTAATTTTGTGAATTTCACTTAAGGGCTGTTTCTGGATTCTGGAGGCACTTAATGCTGTTTGGGCAGTCTTAGAGTGGCTGTGGGTTTTAGCATTACGGAGTGGCCTGCTAACGTCTGAGACCCCATTCTAGGACACTGGACATGTCCTGTGTCCTGGGATTTTGCGTAGGGAAGGATTTGTGTCCAGCGGGTTCTGGGTCCCAGTTGTAAATTACCTATGCTTTCCTTCTCAGCATGACTGACGGAGCCCAGCAGGCCTTGAGGAGAACCATGGAAATCTACTCCAAAACCACCCGCTTTGCTCTTGCGTGTAATGCTTCGGATAAAATCATCGGTGAGTGTGAGCCCTGGGCGGCTGGGGCCCACGGGGTGTTCACTTTGGCTCTTCAGCAGCACAAGAGTTAGGACTTTTGATTGCCTATCATGGACCAAGCACTATAATCCACTTTTTAAAAAATTTATTTTTTAAAAATTGACAGATAAAAATTGTATATATTTATTGTATGTAACATGACATTTTGCAATGTAATCAACGTTTTAATTTAATCTTACGCAGTCCTGTGAGGAGGTATAATTAGACTCACTTTAGAGATGAGAAAACTAGAGCTCGAGAAAACTAGAGCGCAGAGAGGCTGAGTAGTTCATACAGAGTCATACAGCAAGTGCAAGAGCTGGGATTGGAACCCAGGCCTGGCTGACTCTTGCACCCACAGGCACTTGGGGTGTTTCTGATACCCTGTGTATACCGTCATCACTACTGTTGCTCTCCAAATACTCTCTTGTACTTTTTGCATGTTCTAAGCACTTGGCATGGGCGAGATCTGCACATCAGGCTTTGCTACCACCAGGAGGTGCCTCACCTTGGAAATCTTACAGTCTCTCTCTGAGCTCAGTGTTTGTCCTTCCAGCTCCCTCCCTCCCTCCTTCCAGTCTGCCTGCTCCTTCACTGCCTTGGGCCCTCCTGTCCCAGGTCCCGGGAGCCTCCTGGCCTGTCAGCTTCCTGCTGGTTTCACATCCGTCCCTGCTGGTGCGGACCGTGTGCACAGCCCAGCTGTTCTCTCTCCTATCCTTTCTCGACACTCTCATCCCGTGGTCCTTCCTCACGTCTCTCCCACCGAACCCCAGCTGCGTGGGCTTGTCCATCCGCCTGCCCCCTTCACCCAGGCAGACAAGCACATTACCTGGCGGGCTGCCCTCAGCAGGGCTCTCAGTGTCACCAGGATCCTTTGTGTTTGTTTACCTTCCCCAGATAGCCGTTTATTTGCTCATTCATTTATCCAGCCTTTTACCAAACACTCTGCTCTTAGTAGGTGTCGGGCTTCACGCGCGTGGTGGACATGCAGTTTCATGAGAAGCATTCTGTCTTCAAGATGCCAGCGATGAAATGGAGAAACATGCACAAAAAGTTCTTTATTTAGGGATGTGTCTATAGCTTGCCACCTTAGCCAGGGGAAACACAGATCTCTGAGGGTAAGGGCAGCGCATCCAGCAGAGGGCTAAGTATGCATGAGTTTGTTGAGTGATTTCAAACTGCAGTTGTTGGTGGAGAAAGTCCTGACAGTTTTATGACATTTTGTCTCAAACATTCAGCATTCTGATTATTTTTCTTTTCTTTTTTTTT